TATAAATGAGTTGTTGGTCAGATGGAATGTTGTGTGGAATCTGTGCATAAGGTTTCCAATAAATCCATGGTTAGTAGGAACTGAAACATCAGCAAAACAATTCGCTATCAAAGACGTTCCTTACTTTATGCTTTTTTCCCAACTTCTGAGATTTCAGATGCTGCTGCCCAGGGTTTCCCCTATGGAACTCCTCATCACTCATCCAAGACCAGGGTGAATGGGGATGTAAGCTCACTGCCTTCCACCCCTGTGGTAATATATTATGTACCCTAATCAAATTTGCTTGAAGATCAGAGAATAGAACAAGTCACTAGACTAAACACAGAAGCCAGGCAGTGGTGGCACACACCTTTAAATCCTAGCACTCGAGAGGCAGAGATTCGTCTGGATCTCTGTGAGTTCAACGCCACTCTGGACTACATGAGATTGACTCAGTCTAGGAGAGAAACAGAGGCAGAAAGTGGTGGCACATACTTTTAATCCCAGTACTGGGAAGCACACATGCCTGTAGTTTTCCTGTGTCCAACCTGGTCTGAGGTCAAGACAAATCTCTCTCACCCACTGATCCTGCAGCCGCTCAGACCCAAATAAACACACATAGGCTAATATTTTTAAACTACGGCCATGACAGGCTTCTTGCTATCTAGTTCTTACATCTTAAATTAACCCACTTCTATTAATCTATAAGTTGCCACATGGCTGTGGCTTACCAGTCTGCTGGCATGTTGTTCCTTTGGTGGTGGCTGGCGTCTCCTGACTTAGCCTTCCTTTTCCCAGAATTCTCCTCTCTGCTTGTCCCTCCTATACTTCCTGCCTGGCTACTGGCCAATCAGCATTTTATTTATTAACCAATCAGAGCAACACATTCACAGTATACAGAGCAATATCCACAGCACATGCCTTTAAACCCCATGAAGTGATGGCTGGGTGAAGAAAGGTATAAGGTGTGAAGAGACAGGAACTTTTCAGCAAAAGTGTCCCTTTCAGCTAGAGGCTTTTTCATCTGAGGAAGTTCTCAGTTGGCAAGGTGAGATGTGGCAGTGGCTTGTTCCTTTGTTTCTTTCATCTTTCAGCATTTACCCCCATATCTGGCTCTAGGTTTTTTTTTTATTAAGACCATTTAGGAATTCACGTTACACACCCCTGGCTCACCCAAGGTTCAGAGTACCAAGTCAGGCTCCTCCCATTTCCCCCTCATGAAACTGCTCCTAGAGAATTCCCATGAGGTCAGTCATACATGGATTTTCAGTTGAAAATGGGATTTAGAAAGTCATAAGCAGCAAAATATGCCCAGGATCTCAAGCTTTAGAGGTAGAAATGGGATGATCAGAAGTTCAAGCCTTGGCAAGCTTATGCTACATGAGACCCTGTCTCAAAAAACAAACAAAACAAAAGCCAACTGTTCAAGAAAGTAGTCAGGGAAGAAGGAAAGAAGCAGCTGAATGAAATGCCTAACCCAGACATAAAATAAAAACTTCACAGTGCAGGCCATTATTGGTGACAAGGTATGTTTTTAGATAAAAGTGTTTAATAAGGAAATGCAATTGTGCTGGCTAGTCTTATATTAACTTGACAGAAGCTAGAATCATCAGAGAGAAGAGAAATCTCAATTGAGAAAATCCCTCCCTAAGGTCCCACTGTAAGTCATTTTCTTAATTAGTGATTGATGGGGGAAGGCCCAGCCCACAGTGGGTGGGGCCATTCCTGGACCAGTGATTCCGGGGTGTATAAAAAAAGCTAGCTGAGCAAGCCATGGGGAGCAAGCCAGCAAGCATCACCCCTCCATGGCCTCTGCATCAGCTCCTGCCTCCAGGTTCCTGCTCTGAGTTCCTGCCCTCACTGCTTTGGATGATGAACTACTATAGGGAACTGTGAGTAACATCAACTCTTTCCTCCCCAACTTGCTTTGGTCATGGTGTTTCATCACAGCAACAGTCACCCAGACTAAGACAGCAATCAAATACAGGTCTTTGGCATAGGAAATAAATAAGCATGCAGTCGATACATCTCCCCAGCCTAACATTTTATACTTTAGTCTTAGTTTTTCTGTTTTTGTATTGCAAATACCGTGTTTAGTCTGTTTCTCCTAAAACCCAAATACGGGCTCTCTTAACGCTATCTCACAAATCACACAAGCTTTCTTCCTTCTTCGTTCTTCCCCCCTCTATTATTTTGAAACAACTGGTTTTAGAGTGAAGAAACTCTTCCTTCTACTTGATCTGTTTATGCTCTTTATCTTCCATTTCACTCGTTTTATTTTTCACATCAGGAATTTCTGTAAATATAGTAATATTTTATATTTAAAACGAACATTTTAAATTTCTCAGTCTGACCCTGGATTGCTCAATCATTTCTCTACTTAAAAAAAAAAAGATTTGCTGATCTTCCTTAAGACAGTAATGATTTAATTCTTTATTGGATAACTCATGTGTTTCTACTTATTTGTGATTACCATTTCATTTCTTCTTCTAAGGGTATCTCATTTCCCTGATGGTTCCAGATCCTGTTGCTATACAACTGTATATTTGGAAGTGGGGTCTTATCCCTTCCATGCAGAAATTGTAGACTGACTGGCTTTATCTAGGAAAACCATCCATCAGTCCACTGATCCAGAGGTCCTGGGCATGCTGTCTAGTTGATTGGCTTTCTGCTTCAGTTTTCAGGCAGCTTGGCCTGTCTGGGTCAGCAGATAGACAGACCTTCCTTGCATCCACAGAGTCGAGCTTGGACTATAGGTCTAGAGCCTATACCTGAATATGCAGCACATTCTGAAGTCTGAGTTCACAGAGGTTGGCCTGGTTCTGAGGTCCAGGGGGTAGTCTAGGGTTCTTAGGACTGGCTTAGAACCTTAGTCCACAGGTACAAGTCTGGAACAGGGATCTACCAGGATCAGTTTTGATCTAGTTCTATAAGACCACAGTTGAACTCCAGGATCACTGAAGCCATAGAAACCACATTGGAACCTGAAACTGCCATGGAGCTGAGACGTGATTGGGATCTGACTCCCTGAAAACCAGCTTGAGATATGGATACACAAATGCTGATGGAGACGTTAGGCCAATGAGGGCTGTTCTAAAATCTGGGTTTGAAAGTTATCTTGGAGTTTGGGTCTGAATAGGCCATACCAACACTAAGATCTACTGGGATGTACATGATCTTAGTTATCTAAAACACTGGGGCCACCAGGACTAGCCTGGATGGTAGAGCCACGGAGATGGGCCTAGCAGAGAAAAAGCCTAGATTTTGAGGTTTGCGGTACTGACCAGGTATGCAGGTAAGCTTGAAACCTGGAATTTGTAAACCTCCCTTGACTCTGAGACAGTCTGGAATCTAATATGGGCTTAGAACCTAGGGGTACAGGGGTTCACCTGCCACTTGAAAGGCCTGGAACCTCTGTCACAGAAGGTACCCTTGAGACTGGGTCTATAAGCTACCTGATGACTGGGATTATAGGACTAGACTTGTGCAGGGTTTAGTCCTGAAACCTGGGAGCATGCAGGCCTACCTAGAAGAGAAAGCTGATCAGAAGCAGGGACTACAGGGTACAAATGGGAAATGGAGTCTGTAGAGACTGAGCTACTACTGTGGTGAGTCAAAACATTGGTGTGCTGTGAATGGTCTATCACAGGTATAGACCTGGTGATCAAGTCCAATAGGCAGGCCTGGAACCTGGGACTGTAACTTAGAGGTTCAGGCATGAGCACCGTCCCAGCATCTGGTGCTCTAGAGGTCTGCTCAAGGCTGGATATGTGTGTATGCATGCTTTCGTATGTAAGTGTGGGCACACACGTGCCATGGTATGCATGTGGAAGTCAGAGAACCTCTTCCGATGCTCAGTTTCATTTTCTATCTTGATTGAGACAAGGTCTCTATTGGTTGCCACTGGGTATGTCAGACTAGCTGGCTCATGAGCTTCTGAGGGTTCTCCTACCTCAGCTTCCCATCTTGTCTTAGGAGTGCTAGGATTGCAGGCAGGAACAACCAGTTTTTCATGAGCTCGGGAGATCTGAACTCAGTCCCTTGCTTGTGTGCAAGCACCCTACCCAGTGACCTAGCTGCCCAGCATCCAGTGCTGGGTTTGTTTGTTTGTTTGTTTGTTTGTTTGTTTGTTTGTTTGTTTCAAGACAGGGTTTTGCTCTGTAGCCCTGGCTGTCCTGGAACTCTCTGAAGACCCTGGCTGGTCTCGAACTCACAGAGATCCACCTGCCTCTGCCTCCCGAGTGCTGGGATTAAAGGCGTGCGCTACCACTGCCTGGCCCAGTGCTGGGTTTTATTGGAACAAGTCTAGTATTGGAGTCAGCAACAAACTCCCGTGCTCACCCACCCCACCCCCACCACCCCCACACACAGCATCTTGATCCGTGCTCTGATGCCAGCAGTTAGACAACTCTAATATGTAAAGCTTCCCTTCCTATGCTTCTTAGTGTGTCTTCTTTTTGTGCTCCCCTCAAGTACTGCGATTCCACACCCGAAGGAACTTGCTCTTTAGGAAGTACTTCCCTTGGTGGGTAGTTGTTGGGGATGCTGGGAATGTGTTGCTCTGAAGTATAGTGTAGGCGGGATAAGGAGAGAGGAGAATTCTGGGAAGTAGAAGGCTGAGGCAGGGAGACGCTGCCAGCCATGAGGAGCAGGATGTAAAGTACCAGTAAACCACAAGCCACGTGGCAAGGTGTAGATTTATAGAAATGGGTTAATTTAAGACATAAGAACTAGATAGCAAGAAGCCTGAGCCACATAGCCATACAGTTTATAAATAATATAGGCATCTGTGTGTTTATTTGGGTCCGAGCATCTGCGGGATTGGCTGGTGAGAGAGATTTGTCCTGATCGTGGGCCAGGCAGGACCAGAAGAAACTCTCCGGCTACAGGTAGTTGTTTACATCAATGTTTATGTGAGGTACAATGTTGAAAAGCTCGGCTCTACCACCGTGATGATATCCAGCTCTCGGCAGCTACTCGTAAAGAGTTTCTGCATACAGTATTCCTGTAGAAAAACACACGAGACTAAGTCTAACAGGTCCCCGGGATTCTATTTCCTCCCACAAGTCGTTACCCTGAACATGCATCCCAACTGTGTCCAATTAGCAGATCACAACTCTGACACTGGAGGAGACAGTCCTACACAGAGGTCACAGAAAAGAGCCACAGTGAAGTCTCGTCAGGAGCGTCTCCTCGCCCTGCCAGTGTCCTCATGCTTCCTCCAGTTCTAGATTTCCTCCACCGGATCATCTTTCCCCAAACGCTGACGTAATCACACGGGGAAGAAATGAGCACAGGAGACATCTGGAGGGACTCGGAAACCCGGAGGTGAGAGACTGCTTGTTGCACCCCCTCCTACGTGATGTATTCTAGGCCGGAGTTTGCCAGTGTCTTCTGCAGCAAAGCCTGTTTCTTCATCGCGATTTGCCCTTCAACTTTTTAAAAATAACCGAATAGTTAATTAATTCTCCAGAGAGAAGGAAAATATTCCGTTTCTGAATTGATTAATGAGTAAAGACTTTACAGCTTTTCTATAACTCTAACCTCATTAAAATCAAATGAAATGCCCCCCCAACGCCTATGGCTATGCAACCTGAAGGATGTTTGAAGGTTGGAGTTGAGTATTAAGTGTGTCCACGGGACCAAGAACAACTGAACAGCCTCCTTCCTGGTTTCAAAACCAGACTGTCCCTGAATTGAGAGGAGATGAGACCAATAATAAACTATAATTTTGTGTGACTATGCACTAAAACTCTCTAAATGAGAGTTCACAGTAAAACAAATGTATAAAAAACTATATGGGGGGCTTTCTAAAATGGGTACTTACTTAATTTCACATGATGAATTAAAATTTCTACAATAGGAAAAAATCACATACTGATGCCCATCTAAACAAACAATTCATAAAACCAGTATGTTACTGAAATATTGGGCAACACAAGGCTGACTATCCTTAAAGCCAGTACAATGACACATAGACTACTTCAAATTAATGTTGAAAATTTTTAATCTATCACAAAATGGTAAGATGACAGCTCATCGATTATGTTTTGCTCTTGTTACGAGAGGGTGTCAAATGGTCTCAGCCCTGAGGCAGCCTCATGGTATTGGAACTGAGGAGTAAAAAGGTGGTGGGAAACCCATCTTGATGGCTTCAGTTTCAGCACTCAGGAAGCAGAGGCAGGCGGCTCTCCGTGAGTTCAAGGCCAGCCTGCTCTACAGAGTGAGTTTCAGGTGAGTGACGGATCTGTAGCATGACCTTGTCTCGTGACAGCAGCAGCAGCAGCAGCAGCAGCAGCAGCAGCAGCAGCAGCAGCAAGCTAGAAAGTGGTAAAGTCAGGAACTTCCCGCACATTCATCAAAACGGGAAGAGAGGAAGAGAGCGGCAGGTTAGGCCAAGAACAAGGATGCTCACAAAAGTGAACACACTGTGGGACTTTTATCCATGGGGTGTTCTCAAACTCGCATAGTAATTTAAGTATAGTGCTAGCTATCTACCTAAATAATGGGCAAAAATCTTCTTTCAGGACATCACTGCTGCGTAAATGCTTAAATATGAAGCACTGTGGTTTGGATATAACAATGTCTCTCAAAGGCTCATGGGTTAAAGATCTAGTTGACGGCTGATGGGCTTTTGAGAGGTGGTAGATCACAAGGGCTCCAACATCATAGATGGGCTTATCCACTGATGATTTGATAGGTGAATAGACTATTAGGAAGTGGTACATGGCTCGAGGCAGCAGGTCACTGGAGACACATGTTTTTGGAGAACATATCTTATCCCTAGACCCTCTGCTCCGTCATTGTGTGACAGAGCAGACCACCACCAGGTAAGCAGCCCTTTTGCTAGGATAGGGCTTACTACAGAGTCAGAAACACAGAGCCAGCTGACCACTGACCAAAACCTCGGAAACAGATCCAAAGCAAATCCCTCCTCCCATCCTGTGTTTTCCCAAGTGTCTGTCACAGTGATGAAAAGTGACTAGAACATGTAGGCTCTAATCTCTAATGTTGGAGTTACTCGCTCAAAATTAAAATCACAAAAGGCCTGTCACAGTGGTTAGACCCTGCATTTTCATTTAGGGATGAGAGTATCACATAGTGTTCTAAAGAGAGAGTTTTATGTGATAGATAGATAGATAGATAGATAGATAGATAGATAGATAGATAGATAGATAGATAGATAGATAGATAGGGATAGATAGATCTAGATATAGATATCCAGGCTTGGTAGTGCATGCTTGTAACCCTAGCACTTAGAAGGTAAAGGAAGGAGGGTCAAGAAGACATTCAATGTCTTCCTTAACTACACAGTGAGTTTGAGGCCAGCCTTGGTTACATGTAACCTAATCTCAAAAAGGACTAAAAATAAAATAAAGTATACATGAATAGGGGGCCAGAGAGATGGCTCAGTGGTAAAAATCTCACAGAGAACTCACACACTGTGTGTGTGACTCCAGTTTCAGGAGATCTGACACCCTCTTCTGGCTTCCAAGGACACCAGGCATGTATGTGGTACACATGTATACATACATGAAGACAATACACTCATACACATAAATAAAAGAAAATAAATCATTTGTAAAAAATAAACAAAAATGCACATATAACAAAATCCAGAATAATTAAATAACAAAATTAATTTAAACTTAAATCATGACTGTACATTCGCCTCCATTTCACATTCACAACTCAAATTTATTCACACTCAAAATTTGTTCATTTCAAATAGTTAAGCACCAGAACAGTTCTACCTTGTTCAGAATTTCTTGGGAAAAAAAAAAAATCAAAACTAATTTGGCCTAGCACCTCTCTGGGTCATCTTAGTTAAAGGGGCTGGGTGGAACCAAGCAGAAGCTGCAGTGAGTAGAGATTATATCAAAAGCAATTCAACAGACAAAGGAAGTGAGGGAGAAAACTTATTACCACCCAGCACTAGTGAAACAGAGTAGACGAAAGAGGAGAAAACCTCTCGGAGGAGGAGCCTGAGTTCTCACTACAAGAATAACAAAAGCAGGTGTGTCAAATGGAAATGAAAATATATATATGTATATGTTTGTTTATATATGTATATACACACATATATGCGTGTGTGTGTGTGTGTGTGTGTGTGTGTGTGTGTATGAGAAAGGAGTCAGGAATTGTGGGTAGAAACAGCTGTTGAAGCACAATTTAAAACAAGCCAAGGTGATTTTTTTTTTTTTTTTTTTTTACAATGTAGGTACAAGATAAATAGCATAGTTACAAGGCTGGACTAGGTGATGTGAAAACTCATTAAATAAATGGTCTGTTAGAGTGCACTGAGAGGTAGTACTGAGTTAATACAGCACAAAAATATCCGGTCATTTTGTTGACTCCCAAAAAGCCTCTTCGGAATTCAAGGTCAAGTTTAAATTCACACTTTGCAGATGGAAGGGCAAGATCTTGGGCACCAGCCTGGAAGGCAGCGTGTTCAGAAGTCCCGCTGTCAGGCTTAAAGCAGCCCTTTTTTTTTTTTTTTTTTTTTTTTTTCAGAGGTGGCCAGCTGAGTCGGCATTTGTCACGCAGGGAGCGGAAACGGGAACAAGATCGGCAGAAGGAACGGTGAAATCACAAAGCCAGGCCGTGTGGCAATCACCGTGCCCTGCTGTGTAGCAGTAGCAGCACCCGGGTGAAGTGAGTCATGCAGGAGGGGTGCTGGAAAGGGAGGGATGAGCGGCACAAAAAACAGGGGCGGGGAAAGGACAGGTTTGCAAACAGCGACCAAAGCCAAGACCAGGCCATCCGTGTCACGAATGGTTTCTGAAAAGAACGCCGTGAACAATGCACACTCTGTGAGCACACCCCGTGTGCTCATGATCACACATAACCCCACACATGGTCTGACACCCTCACTGTGAGTACCTCTGACACACAGGAAGGGAATGGAAGACAAAAGGCACATTTTAAACAATCACACTTCATAGCCACAAGGTCGGGGAAATTACCTCTATTTTTTTTTAGTCAGCACCATTTTCTCTTTTTGGATGTTTTCCTGGGTTTCCTCGAATATTGGTTTTTAAAAAAATGAAGTCTAAACCAGTGTTTCTCCAGAGTTAGACTAGGACCTTGAAGTTCCGGATTTGTGTTTCTAAGACTAACTGCGCTGATGACGAGCAAACCCTCTTCCACTCACCCATTCATTCACGGGCGTCTATTACGCATCCAGTGTAAGCCAACACTGCAGTCCTCCAGGGTACAAAAGAGACCTTAGATATACCTCCTGATCTCTCAAAATTAGCGCCCTGGCAGACAAGCTATATAATAATTAGACAAGCTTGTGATTTGCTAAACAAAAATGAGAAAAAGACTAGGATGCAAAGCTACCAAGCGCCATGAAATTTTTTTGAGCTGGTCTACAGCCAGACGTGAGCACCACAGCCCATGTTGGGAGGGCGGAGGAAAACTTGTAGACGTGAAGGAGTGGCTTCTCTCCTTTCACCTGGTGAGTCCCTGGGATAAAACTCAGAGGATCAGGCTTAGCAGGCAAGCACCTTTACCCATGAGCCACCTCACCAGCCGCCTCCTTCTAATTCTGACATTCAAGACTTAAAATGTGTTACAAGGCTCGAAGAGAGATGGACCCAAATGCTACTGTTTCTTCTTTATACCATAGCAAATCGAAATAACTTTTCCCTCGCCTCTTCTGGCTTCTTGTCTGCAGGTGAAATTTTCTTTCAACCTCATTAAGATTCTAGATGTCATTGCAAACCCCTGGTCCTTGTGAATTGCTGGTGAGCTGTTACACACACACAGGAAGCGATGGGACAGTGTTCTGATCTTTATTGCCATCCCTGAGGGCCCAGACTACCAACCCTTGATGAGTACCAATATTCTGCTACCTCATTCAGGAGGCTGAAAAAAAACCTATACAAAAAAGCAAACAAGTATAATCTCTAAGAAAAAAAAAAGGCTTTAGGCGAGACATTTTGGAGATATTAAATTTTCTCTTATGAGGCAGGGAATCTCAGATCTTGGTATGACTTGCTCAAGAATCACAGACGATGTGCCCAATCTTTTAACTCCCCATGTTTTCCAAAAGAAGGAAAATATTTCTCAGAGCAAAATGAAGGAGGGCTTCTGATTATAATCCTTGGAGATTTTTCATAAGAATGAGGCTTTAGAAAAGGAAGCTAAAATGAGAGATGGAGGCGACTCTGCAAGGAACAGGAAACGTGTGCAATCACCCTGTGTTGGAGAACCACAGCACACAAGAGCTGAGGAGTGGGGGTGGTTCATTAGAGAAAAAATGCTAAGAGGTTCCTTAAAGCAACAGAGAGTAGCTGGACCTGGTGGCGAGCGCCTTTAACCCCAGTATTCAGGAGGCAGAGGCAGGTGGATCTCTGGGAGTTCCAGACCAGCCTGGTCGACAAAGTAAGACTGTCTCAAAATACAAAAAAAAAAGGGGGGAGGGTATAATTAAAGGATGCTTGCAATAAAGGAACAATAGATGTGTGTCTTTAAAAGATCATATTTTCTACCTCTTGCAGAAGGGATAGAAAAGGTGGATGTGGGGGAGGAAGGGTAAGAGCTACAGTATCAGCTTGGGGGGAAGATAATCATAGCTTAAACTAGGTTGGTGACAACTAGAGATGGATGAAATTAAAAGGACATGATCATACATGGCCTTATAGCCAACAAAGACGATTGAATTGCATTTCCTTGTATGAATGGATGGATGATAATGTCATTCACTAAGCAAGGAAAAGCCCTATTATCAAAGCCTTGTTAAGGTGGTTTGTGTGGGAGACATGAAGTATTTCTCGTAGAAAAGTTGGATCTGAGATGCTTTGGAGGTACCCAGGTGCATAGACTGGTTGAGAAGCTGTATATTTCTTCTGCCTGGTGAGGAATATGAGATAAAGATGTTAAATTGCCTGGGTTAGTGTCCTGAACATTATTTTTTACCATTAAAAAAAAAGCCATCAGTATCAAAGAACAAACACTGAGTTGGAGTGTGTCTATGGAAGGTATGGAGAAGATACAAATGTAGGTAAAACTCACTAAGAAACTGGCTACACTTTAGAAATCAGTATGACGGTTTATCAGAAAATTAGGAATTAATCTACCTCAAGACCCACTGATACCACTCTTGGACATATACCCAAGGAATGCTCAATCATACCACAAGGACACATGCTCAACTATGTTCATAACAGCATTGTTTGTAATAGCCAGAACCTGGAAACAACTTAGATGACCCTAAACCAAAGAATGGATAAAGAAAATGTGGTACATATACACAACAGAGTACTACTCAGCAGTAAATAATAATAATAATAATAACATCATGAAATTTGCTGGCAAATGGATGGAACTAGAAAAAAAACATCATCCTGAGTGGGATAATCCAGACTCAGAAAGACAAACATGTAATGAACTCACTCATAAGTGGATAGTAGATGTAAATCAAAGGATAACCAGACTAAAACCTACAGCTCCAGAGAAGCTAGGTAACAAGGAGGACCCTAAAAGGGACACATGGATTACCCTGGAAAGGGGAAATAGATGAGATCTCCATGAGTAAAGTGGAGGTAAGGGGAGCAATGGAGGGTAGGGGCTGGTAGATGGGAACATTGTGGAATGGGATGGTAGAGCTGGAACAGGGGCAGAGTGGAAGAGTGATGAAGGAGATATCTTGATAGAGGGAGACATCATGGGAATAGGGAGAAACCTGGTACAAGAGAAGTTGCCAGGAATCCACAGGAATGATCCCAGCTTAGACTACTAGCAGTGGTGGGGATGCCTGAGCCAGCCTACCTGAGTGATCAGATTGGTGAATGTCCCAACTGTCATCATAGAGCTTTCATCCAGTAACTGATGGGAACAGATGCAGAGAGCCATGGCCAAGCACCAGGCTGAGCTCCAGAAGTCCAGTTGAAGAGAGGAAAGAGGAATTCTATGAGCAAGGGGCATCAAGACCATGATGGGGAAACTTACAGATACAACTGAACCAAGCCAGTGGGAACTCATGAACTTGGGAGTCTGACAGCTGTGGAGTCTGCATGGCACTGGACTGGGCCCTCTGCATGGTCGAGACAGTTCTGTAGCTTGGTCTGTTTGAGGGGCCCCTGACAGTGGGATCAGGATCCAGTCCTGGTGCATGAACTGGCTTTTTGGAGTCCATTGCCTATGGTGGGACACCTTGCACAGCCTTGATGCAGGGAGAGGGGCTTGGACCTGCCTCAGCTGAATGTGCTGAGCTTTGCTGACTCCCCATAGGAGACCATACCTTTTCAGAGGAGGGGACAGGAGCGGGGGTTGTTTGGGAGGAAGGCTGAGGGAAGCAGGAGGAGGGATGTGATCTGTGGAATGAAGAGGACAGCAAGAATGGGTACTGGAGAGAAGGATGGGACTCGGCTAGGGCCTCTAACATATTTAATGGATGAGACTCAAACATGCGTCTGTGCTGCACAGAGGGATCCACTAAAGAACAAATGGCTGAAGACACCAAAGGAAGTATAAATTACTAAAAACATCTTTCTGCAGGCAGCAGAGGGCAGGATCCCCGTCATGTTCAGGATTGGACTTTAAAAAGAGGAAAAGTTGAGCCTGTTCCCAAGCTGGTTTTTACTCTTCTTGTAAGGAATGGACAGACGAGGTAATCAGGGTAGAATCAATGGAATTTCAAAGAACATCCAAAGTCAAACTGAAGTGTCTGATCATGGATTTGTGGTAGTTAGCATCTGTCTTGCTGAAAAAAATTTTCAGTAGTCCTGCTTCTTCCTAGGAATAATAGATAAATAAGGTGGACAGCCAGGATTGATGTATACATTGATGAAAATGACCCAAGACACAGTGTGCAGTTCTTTGGAGTCATAGAAAACTCTGTGTTGAAGCCATAGCTCACAGAATCCAAGCTTGATATGGAAAACACTAAAAGATGAACAGGCTAATGAGCAGAGAGAAGGCAGAGTTGTTCCCAGTCAATGCTCAATGAAATATGATAGGACAGGTAACTGAATAAGAAGTCTAGACAGACAGGAACTGTACTCAGAGAGTGAGATATGATCGGATTTGGCTGTGAAGAAGTAGAGATGTTGCAAATATTTTCTGCCCCCAGGATATGACTCAGGCAGTAGTGAGCTGATGTGGCATGAAGGAAAGAGTCACTGGAGAAAGATGTCAACAAAATGGGAGCCAGGGAATGGCATGGCCAGGCATTAAAATATGATTAATGGGAATCTGGGTGAAAGGGTCGCTATCAGACCAACATCAAGCTCATTAGTAAGTGAGGGGAAGTAACTGGGCAACAATAATAGACAACAATAGTTAGAAGGAAATGAAGCGTTCTTCAGCAACATAATGGAACTTAATAGAAACAACAGGGAAGAGCACCGACCCTGTCTCTCTCAGAAGCACAAAAGCTAAGAGAGCCAGCAACCTTATTTTCACTGCCAAAAATCCCAGGGAGCAGTATCTCCATTGACAGCCTCAAGATCTTAGATTTTACCTCTTCGTACTGGTAGCCCTGTCCTTCCAAAGCTACCCTTTGTCTCCATCCATACCTTTTGAGATGTAATGATACTTGTTTCTGAGATGGAGTCTCATGTAGCCCAGCTGACCTTGAATTCACTATGTAGCTAAGGATGACCTTGAACTTCTGATCCTCTTGCCTCTAACTCTCAAGTGCTGAG